CCTCCATTTTGTACCAGAGGCCATAATTTTATGACGGAATACCAATTGATGGGAATAAAACTTTTTGCGTTCGAGAGAACGCAGTTCTAATCGGGTAAGGCGGAAAAATTCGAGTTCGTGTATGTATCTTTCTATGGACACCAATTTGGCCCCCAAAAACAATTCTTCAGGGGCAAATGACGTCATATCCATGTCTCTCGATTGTTCTACAATATTGCGGACTTTCGAGTGGACTGTAGCGGACAAGTTGTTGATTTAAAGTTCGAAGTCGGTGTTAATGGCATTTAAAAACCTTTTCGTACGAACAGAAAGCTGTAGTTTTGCTGCGTGTTGTGTGTTGTGTACCCTCTTAGGACCATTTAGTAGCTGTGACGTTTGTATGGGGTGGGTTATGAGTGCTCCAGTTTTCATTTATATACAAACTTGGTTCGATAAATACATCCTGCATTCTCTTTCTTGCTTTCTGTTTTGCCTTTTATGAGGCGATTTTCTACATTCAAGATTTGAACGACCTTGACGAGGCCAACAAAGATCGCCAGCACATCAAGAAGTTTAGTTACTTCATAATGTTTAATATTTCAAACATTTGTTAGGTTACAACTGTATCGTCCAATCCTAAATCACGTTCCAGAGTTTTGCAGTGCTTAGTTACTTTATTGTTAGACACTGTAATGAATTCGACACTTCATCACTTCTGGTAAGGGATGGACTTTTGAGGGTGGGGGAGGAGTTTGGTGGGTGATTTGGTACAGGGACGAATTGTTTTGGGCTCTTTCATGCACTAGGGAATTTTTTTTTCTCGGGACGCGTGCCGCGGAACGCATGACATTTTTTATCCGTAAAACATTTTTTGTTCGGCTCACTGAACGTTTGTGAATCTGTTTTTTTTTTTCGATAGTGGTCGTGTGTATGATTTTCATTTTGGTACAAGTATGCCCATAGGATATTTTTTCAAAATCAGCTATCCCCCAAAATTCATATAGTTCACCCCTAAGTGAAGTGAGATATGGACGAATACATGTTTCTTTGTAACAACGTTGCCTTCTATCATACATAGCAATTGTATGCGGTTAACTTAGGAACAAGGTTGAGTAAATATTTCTATTATTTCGTGAGTTAATGCTAAACGGTACACGCAGAAAAACCCGTACAACAAAATAACCACACAGGGTTAGTTTTGTGGGAAGTCCAAACTCCACTCCTTAATCCTCCTGTTCAAACCATAAGTGAAGGAAAAGACACTTTACAAAGGTACTTGCACTTTCATCCAACACAGTGGTCAATGGTTGTTTTCCAGAAAGGTTCCGGAGAACATTGAAGGCCACTCAGGTTCAACGGTAATGAATGGATAGCAAAACTCCTACGAAGAAATGACAGCAGTAAATCACAGTAACTCTATTAGTTTGCAATCAGTAATAGATCTAGAGAGAAGGGGTGCGGGCGATACCCCGTTACATTTCGTCAAAAGAAAATCCTTTTCAAAAACTGGCATTCGCGAATACTAACTTCCCGAATAATTTCTAAATAATATTTTAAAACTGAAAACGGGGGCTCGTTTTCGGCTCACAGCAGAGGAATCCGTTTACCTACTGGTCCCTGGATTTAGCTAAGCACGTGATTCGTTGTAATTCAGGCGGGAAAAAGCGTAATAAAAGGCGGGAAATCTGTGCCGGCTTTCGCAGGACATTCAAAGCGCCTTTCGCTGTTTTCGTTGTCTTTTTGCTGAAACAAGGTGAGTTTCTTTGATTTTATTTATCAAAAGAAAACTTCCGCTTTACACTCAAACCTAAAGTTCTTTAATAAGGAACACAAAAGAAGGCGATAATTGCCCTTATCACGGTTTTGGAAGCTCTCTTGGTATACAGCACGCGTTAGAAATTAGTGTTGTATGGGAATAAGACGGCAAACGATTTTCTTCAAGACTGAATTCTGAACAATTTATGAACAGCATATTAAGATAAATGGCAAATTTGAGGGATGTAGCTGCGCTCAAAATCGTCCAGCCGCGTTTTTAATTTTCACTACATTTTCTATCAATTTGACGTGGCTTTAGAAATTACAAGTTCGCGGAAATAATTACCGACAAATGTACAGAAAATTATAAACACCACTGGACGCTTTGGAGCACACTTTAATACATCCCTCAAATATGGTTAATACAATCTTTTACCTAGTGAACCAACTTTGCTATTCGTAAATTGTTCAGAATTTAATCTTTAAGAAAATTGTTTGCCATCCGATTTCAGTGCAAAACACTGTAACCTATACAAAGAGGCGTGTTGCCCACCCTTCAAGATGGCTTCCAAAATTGTCATAAGAACCGTTTGCATATACAAGTACGAATAAATTTATTTCTTCGCCATTGTGCGGAGTAATTTAGTCATCTAATCAGTTCAACTTAATGTGTAGAAAGTAAGAAACGGCTTCTCCTCTTTACCAATGTTTACTCACCGAATATTTTCGAGAGTTGAATAAAAAATCACGCAAGCAAAGGGATTGCGTGCACGAATGGAGGTTTTAATTAATGCTTTTGTTTTCCCGGTCTGATACAAAGAAAGATTTGGGAACTAAAATTGGGTACTAAAATGTATCTATGTTTTGGTTATTTTTTGTGGAAGTGATTCAACATGTTTTTAAAACCTGATTCTCAAAAAAAAAACAGTGGCAATATTTTTTGAAATCCGACGAGAGAGTTTTTCCTCATTTCACCAAATTAACCTCAAATTCGGTCCTGTTTGGATTTGCAAGTTTCACGATCCAAAATCCAAGGCAAACATTTTGAAAACGGAGCTTTTCGAAAACGATGCTGTCACTATATTTAAATAAATGATTTCCCTGACCGAGTTTTCCTCAAACACGTGTGGACGGAAAACATGCTCGTTTTCAGAGTGAAATCTCCGTATTCAAATTCCTCCGACGTAGTGTGGAACGAATCTGAGTCTCTTTATGAATTTCAGTCTAATTTCACCCAGTAAAAGCTGATTGGTAATGAATTTAAAAAATACAGGGTCGGCCAGGGATTTTGGTTTTACCGACAGAATTTTTAAGGTATACATTTGTATACGTTGAAACGAGGGCTTCTGATATTTGCTTCTTATTTTGGGTGTCATGTGCTTTTTCAGGTTGTGTGTGTTTGGTGGAAATCTTGGCTATTTATCTGGAAAGTTTTTTACGTTTAAGGTATGTTTCTTTACCATACTGAGCTCCCTCCCTTTCTGAGTGTCGAAAGTCAGGCAAATACTTTTTTTTGGTTTTAGTTTTAGTTTTGGTTTTACGACATTCAATTGAAAACACAAACAAAGAATGTTACCTGAAGCAAAGGTGAAGAGAAGTTTGGAGAATCCAGGGAGGAGTAACTCAGGAACCAGTTTGTCTGCTCTGGCACCATCACTCTGTGAAATCCATGGGGACCAATCGTGACGTTGGGTGGGGCACCAGGACTAAAATTCCGCATCCGGGGGGCGCGCTGTACATAGCCATAGTAAGGGTGGGATGGGCTGGACAGGTTTGCACATACTGGAAGAAGTCTTGGCTGCTCTTGGAGTAGATTTGGAGAACCTTGTTTCGCACTTAAAACATCATCTGTGTTGACCTCTGTCAGATTGTTTTCGCTGGATTCGGCAGGATATCCTGGAAGTTTAAAGAGGGAATGAGTTAGAAGAGAAACCACTCTCAACAGAACATCATTCAAAGTACACTACCATAAGTGATGCGAACAAATGAAATGACATATTCACATCAATGAGAAGCGAAAAATGATAGTCCAGCATTCAAAAAATTACCGTAGTCTTAAAAATGAAACTATTAAACGGGTGTTGTTACGAGTCACACCCTCAAGATTCTGATTTCAAATTGAAAAGAAAAGTCGGGGAACATTCTTCTAGAGCTATCAAGATCCGACTTGTCAGCGACAGGCGGTTAGAACTGACCGAAAAAGACAACGCGTGCTGCTGAACTCAAACAAAAAAACGTGTGTTTTTATGTTTTTTTGATTTTTTATTTTTTACAGAAAAAAAAACAATTAAAAAAAAACGACAAAAGAAATGAATCAGAGATCACGAAAAACTCTAAAAAAAAGTTTAAAACTTTTTCAAATAACGCCAACACTATTGTCGTTTTTGGGAAAAGCGATCATTTGTCGACAAAAAATACAAAAAGCAGAAAAATAGAATTTCGCATCGTGTTAGTCTTTATACACTGATGTATCGATGCTCAAACTACAGTAATCATTTAACGGAGAAATTTCGATAATCCTCTGTATTTTCAAAAACTATTTGGGTCATAAAGCTCAAGATTAAGCTAACTTTAAATGATCGGTTACTGCCTCACAGTGACACATTTTTGTCAAAGACAGCCATACTTGTTCTTGCCCCGAAACGATGATTAGTTTCAATCTTGATTACTAAAGAGCAAAGCCTCTACAGCATTCCGAACGTACGACTTAAAAATTTTACCTTTCCCCGGCAAACATGAAGTTGGTAAGGCATCTGCCATTGTGGGGTCGATCAAAGCTTTGCTCGTGTTCAAATCTTCTCGCTTTTGCATCATTTTCTTCCTCGTGCGTAGTTTTTCGCCGACTACCTCCGTTTGACGTCCTGGTTTTATCGCAAGAAGATTTCTTTCTGAGATCAAACCACACCCCTCACAGTTACATTGCCTGTGCGGACAAACATTTCTGTGGCCTTTCAACGGAACATGATAAATGCCGTGATTTCTACAACGGGCGCATTTAGGCTTTTGTCTGGAATGCACTGAGATGTTCGAATTGGATTTGGAAAGCATAATCTTCTGCGCTTACAGTAACTGTAGTGAAGGTGATTAAAATAACAGTTACTGTACAGTAACAAGATTTGATTGAAAATAACTAAGCCTTCACGGGGACAGCTTTCAAATAGCATACTTAAAATTGATTGACAGCCTGTAACGGTTATTTCTATTGGACGATTTTGGGGAAAACAATCCAAAGATGCGTGTATGCCTTTCCCCCCAAAAACGTCTTCTCTATATTTTTCCGTTTTCTGCTTTAATTTAAGACATACATCACATATACAGTACTCCTGAACGTTGATAGGAAAGGATAAGAGATGAAAAAGGAACCTGTTGAAATGGAACCGAAAGCTGTAAACAACTCCTTATTAGTCAAAAGAAAGCCCTTTAAAATCGCACGTCCTCAAGAGGTCAGACGTCTTTTTGTGATAGTTTTGCGCGGAAAAAAACACCAGAAACAAACATAGAAGACCAGATTCGATTCGGTAGTAATATAATGGAAGTAATATAATATAATCGGTAGTAACATAATATAGCGATGAAAAAGGGACCTGTTGAAATGGAACCGAAAGCTGTAAACAACTCCTTATTAGTCAAAGGAAGCCCTTTCAAATCGCAAGTACCTCACTTCAAGAGGTCAGAGGTCTTTTTGTGATAGTTCTGCACGGAAAAAAAAAACAGAAACAAACATAGACGACCAGATTCGATTCGGTAGTAATATAATGGTACCTTAAAGACAAGTAAAACTCTAGGTATCTGATCAGATGGAAGCCAAGACAACTAGACTAGTGTCTGCTACATAACAACGACGTACACAGACCACTGATTACATCAATTTTCTCACGCCCAAAAGGCACTGATATGATTCATTCACGGGTTACATTTGTTTCGTAATCTGATGTGATGAAGGCTACGGACATTGCTTATTGAGCTATTTTCTTCCATAAGTTTTATTGATAAGACGTCCATACGGGCGTTTCAGTAAGGGGTTGGCCTAAAAACAAATGTTGCAATTGCTCACGTGAGAAGCCTCAAAACACTACTGTTTTTAATACCGAGTCTGATCTGAAATACTAAGCCCGTAACTTTGATTTGCGTGTACTTGCGAGTCCGTTTGGTCACTCTACGCAAGTCGAACTTGCAGCTTCTTGCCACAACTTGCGAGTCCGTTTGGCCAAAGCTTAAGGTGATCATCATAATCAGTTCCGCTTCTCGGTGTGGAGATTGCGGCAAGAGGCTTAAGACGGGAGTCTACCTGAATTTAAGTGAAGTTTAGGAAGTTTAAAGAGAGATTAAACAGGAAAAAAAAAGTTTTGGAACACCAGACAGCTGAACGTCCCCCGAAAGGGCACTCCGGGTTGTAGCCTGCGTAACTTCGCGGTTTTTAAGCAACTTGAGTGTACGTCTACCAATTTTTAACTTCAAATTCTAATTTTAAAACAACATCAAATCTTCCAAATTTCCTATTTCCATAAATTTTACTAATCCTTTGAGAAAACTATTTATCCCCAAATATACCCAAAAATCATCAAAAAATTTACAGAACAGCCCAAAACGTAGATATATGGGATGAGCAGAGAGATTTTTGACTGCTTGAAACGTGAACGAGATATTTGCGTTAAAACCATAATACCCAGCCAAAATACGGCCTTCAAGTTGACCCCCGCCTTAAGGTAGTAGAGAAAATTAGTTTCTCATGGAACCACGTAACACAAAAACAGGCAACTTCTTCTCAAACTAGATAGTCCACACCACAAAGTAGATTTCCCTTTGTGTAGAAAATCTTCAGTAACACTTTTGACTTCGCTAAGAGAAAGCATTTAGTCCACTTATACCGGGTCACAATGTCTGTCTAGCAATATACAGTAAAGCAAGCTCTACGCAACGAAACAACTGTCTTTGAGAGTGACGTTTTTATTCAGTAGTCCTCAAGCAAAGGAAAACCAAGACACGGCTCACTGTATCAATACGATGGACTGGAGTTATAAAACACTTCGAAGAAAAGGCAAAACTTGTCACTGCAGTTATCAGTCCCTTTGACGTTGTGTAACGCTGGTAATCACCAACGTGACGGCGTGAGAGAGAAGCCGGGCTGATAGTATTGTTATAATGGAGTTCACTTTCAATATTTTACAGCAAAGATCAAAAGTATCTTGCAACTAATATTACTGCGTCTATTTTCGAGTGTCTTTTCAATGTGCGACTTTTATTCTTATTGCTACTCATATGATTCACTTCTTCTTCTTTTTACTCTTTTTCCTGGACGGCGATCTTGATCGGGATCTCGATCGCTTCTTTCGTGACGAACTTTTCTTGGCGGGTGTTCCACTCCGTGATCTGGACCGTTTACGCCTCTGTTTTCCAACAGGAGAACGACTTCGGGACCGAGACCTTCCGCGCCCGCGGGATGAACTCCGGCTGCGGGATCGTGACCGTCTTGAATTGGAAGGCGAAGGTGTGCGCGACTCGTAGTGCTTTAAAGACTGAAGGAAAAAAACCCAGAAATATCAGATGTTAACGGAAATCTATTGATAACTAAAGAATTATATCAAATAATTTTCGAAAGCTAACGTACCTGCAGTGATGTTGTCAATGGCGATCGTGACCTGCTCCGCGCGGGAGATCTCGAAGGAGAGCGACTTTCAGAGGACTGGGACCGACGACCTCGCTTCTTGGACGATGGGGACTTGGAACGACTGCGAGACTTCTTTCGGCGAGACTCCGATGGGGAGTTAGTATGGCTGCTTCCCTTTTTCTTTTTCTCCTTCGATTCTTTCGGTTCAATTGCCTAGTGAATGAATATAGGATATAAGATCAAGGATTTGACAACGGACAATGAATTGCATTGATATCTCAAGGACGCTTATCTGAAACAACTTCCGCGGAAAGGGCGGGGGAGGGGGTGGGACGGGGGAAGGGGGCTTATCAAAGGCGCTAAATCGAATCATTACAATACCATCAGATTTTCATAACTAGAACTATCTGAAGATCAGTAAAGAGATTTGTATTTCTAATCTTAAAACTGAAAACATTAAAACGCTCTAAGGATTTCCTGCCATGTCATCCAAAGGCAGCCATATTCAATGAAATATGATAAATCATGTCTTTCTAACCTCAAGTAACTTGGCCCTGTACACATCGCACTGCTGAGCTAGGTTGCTCGCGCCTTTTGCTTCCAGTTTCTGAGCGTATTCTGCAACTTTCAGTTCGATTTCTCGAAGCTTTCTCCGTCTGCTTTCGTCGATTTCCATGGTTCGCGGGGTTTCTACGGAAGCACTCGGCTGTTCTTCGGGTCTGTTCGGAGAATCTTCTTTGACAGGAGGTCTAACGAACAGAATGGTTACAAATAAGTTTTTTTTTTTTCATTTTTGATTATTACCAGAAGTTAAACATTTTAAACTTCATGTGCAATATAACATAATAGAACAAGCGAGAACTAAGAAAAGAAGAAAGCCCATTTTTTTCTTTATTCGTATGGTTCTGGGCCGTTTTTGTAAAACAGAGAACGCTTACCAACCAGATTATGATTAGATTATGAGCTCGAGACTTCTATCGCGCGATAGTTGACGAGGATGCGTCCGTTATCACGCATAGAAATCGAGAAAGAATAAATAATCTAATTGTTTTAGTATAAATCTACTGGTCGTTCAAAACTTTATCTAAATCCTCTTCACACACACTTCAAAAACGCTGAGGAGCGGCCGCCAGTTTGTTAGCAAGCGCACACTGCTAGGCTACTCACTATCTACCACAGAATAGATAGTAAGTAGCGTAGCCAATCAGAGAACGGCATTCGTGATAGAATGCTATCAGATTTATACTAATCGGTATTAGTGTAAATATATCTCGAGCTCATAATCTACTTGTTTAATAAAACTCGTTGTTTGAATGAAACCCTTCAACCAGATTCAAATCCTTTCGGGTCTGTTCTCGATGATCACGACGAGTACTCACTTTGGTGAAGGCTCACGCTCCTCAATTCTCTCCCAGTCAGGCTGATCCCATTTTGACGCAACGTGAGGAACATCTGATCAAAGAATGAGGTGGTTAAAAAAATTGTAATGATAATCAGCGATGCTAACAATAGACATTGAGGTAGGCTGGAAACCAGTCTCATCTACACTCCGTTTAGGTGAAGGGAAACTCTGGAGAGCGTCCCTTACAATTCTCTGTAGGAAAAAACATGGCGAATAGTACATTTACCCTTAATTCATAGCGCAAGAAAAAATCCGAAAAACGTTTATAAATACGTTCAGAAAAGTTCTAAAACTTTCAACTCTAGCATGCACAGCGTTGTTAACACAGAGACAAAGAGTGCAAAGAAATGGCTGTCCTTGTGCTTTATAGGCTGTGTCAGGTTCGCAAGGCATTGTGGTAAAATGTAAATCCGCCATCTTTTGTCGCATGGAGGATTCTAGGCTCCATCCTACAGCCATAAGTTGAAGGATGGGGCTCTGCGGTCTCACTGCTGGTATTTAGCACTTTGTATCTCAAGACGTGTCTTCTAGGTGCTCAGGTCAAGATGAACCTTGTTGCCAGCTTTCCATGTTGGGCAAAATGTGTTACTGTATTGACTGAATTTACCAATTTGGGCCCGAAACTTCTTACCTTTATCACGTGACTTGTCTGGGGTCTTTTTATTGTCCACTGAGGTGAGAAAGACAAAAACAAACACATAACATAAAAAACTTAAACTTAAAAAAACTTAATAGAAAGGTAATATGAAGTAAACGAGGGCTGCCCCCCCCCCCCCCCCCCC